GGTTCAGCATATATGCACTGTGCCTATGCTGGTGCATACAGAGCTCCATGTCCTTCTATCACGTACAAAAAGCTCAACTTATTTCTTTCTAAGCACCCAGGTCCATAACTGGTAGCATCACTCTCTCTCCCCTTTTGCTAGACACTTTCTCTTTCCTCATCTGCCCGGTAGAGTAACAGACATGAAGAAACCACACTCTCGAAGCAATACTAGCCACTGAGACGGTATTTTCTGCAGCCGTCTGGGATTCTGAATCAAAGGTAAATTTATTTGGAGACCGTATCTTAAATTTCATGAAGGTAAATAACACAGAGGCCTACCAGATTATTAGAAAGGAAAGATCTACTTCACGATACCTAAGAAGAATTAGGTGTGATTTAAAGACCCGATGGAAATGAAATTAATAGAAACGTTGATACGGGACACTCAATTACTGGTATTCTGTAGCTCACCAGTTCAGAGTTCCCTAAATGTCACCTGGAACAACGTCCGTAACATTCAGCTTTACTTCTAGCATGTTATTACACAAAAACCACCTTCCAAGTTGCTGACAGAAAGTTAACAGGGACAAAGCCCAAAAAGCACAAAAAACCTTAAATCAGTACAAAGTCAAACTTTTTAAACTTCTTTTTATACAATGCAGAGCCTGGTTGCAAAGGATTTCATGCTACTTTTAGACTAAAGAAAAAAACCAGTTATGGTGACAAATAAGTGTTATATTAAGTATATGGCATAGATATGGAGCCAAGCTTCGCTTTCTACCTGTGCAGGAATGACTTCCCCAAACTTTGAGTGAATAAATCCTGATACCCAATGCATTTTGCACTCTAAATCAATGGGAAAATGCACAAGTTTTGCACAGAAACTTGTTTTTCCTCAGAAACAGAAGCTTTACTCCTTCTGAATACACGTGAAGTTAACAAATAATACTAGTAGAAATGGAAGGAGCAATAAAACAGGAAAACCAGAATAAAAGGCTTTAAAAGTGCAAATGTATTATAAAATGAAGCATCACTTCTGAAGAAATGAAGCATAATTTCTAAAGAAAACAGATATAAGATTATTGCAGTGTTCAACTAAACTTTAATATTGAATGAAGCGTAATTTCCTGGCAAAGATTAGTCAGCCATAAAGATAATGCTACTCTTGACACACGTAGGGTCCCTCTAATTTCGCACCCCATTGCTGACCACACCTAGAACCAGGTACATTACAGGAAACCGTGGGGGAAAAAGGCAACTATAGAGAGGTAGATAACCTTCCCTCCTCAGTGACTGTAGCCATGAGGAAAGCCTGATTTTGATCTAAAATATAATTTCTGTTTCCCTTCAGTACTCTCTGTTTGGCAACATTTCTCACAATCCATATATTCTCGTTATTCATAGCCTTCTATTGCTAAGGTTTGGGGCTCAAGCTACTGCACACTGTAAATATGATTCCCACGAAAAACTGTTTCCCATCAGTTATTGGTGCTGTTTATACAAAACTGTGCTGTTCTCTGCTACCGAGACACTTCCCTCCCGAGATGCTTCATAATTCATGGCCCACTAATTGCCTTTTTATAAATCAAAAGCGTTTTTCAGCTACTACTTTTTCTGACACCTCAACCTCCACTACTATCTCACTTCTAACAAAAGACAGCACATCTACATGAGGACTCTTGGACTCAGCATCATAACCACGGTGCTGAAGACTGTCACTAAGAAATTACTGTAATCCTTAAAATTTGTATCATCACTCCCTTAATCTATTAGTAATGAATGAGCCCCGCTATGTTATGCTCCTTGTGCTTCTTTTTAAGCAACAGTTGATAAATATCTTCCTCAGTTTAAAAAAGGAAACAACTTTTGGATTTAAAGGATAGTCTGAAAATGAAGTCTTCTTTTCAATAGGAGTGTCAATTATCTACATCTGCATAATCAGTATGCTACCTCCTGATGTCATGGTAAATCTTAATAATTTTCAAGACATACATTCTTCTTCAGTAACATTACTATGAGTGACTCAATATACAGTGAAGTGAGTGCACATTTTGCAAGATTTCTACAGGCTGCATGAATTTCTGAAATTTTAGCTTCTGCTTAGATTTTTCCTTCCTGTGTAACAGACCAAAAGAAATTACCACAAATTCGTAGAAAACAAGTGATGCTCTGTTTTAAAAAATACTTGTTTGAATGGACTTAACCATTGTCTTAGTCTTACTTGCGCATTTATTTATTGGTGGTTGGAGAGAATTCCTAAAAGTTTTAAACTCAAAGATGTAAAACTCCACATTCTATCACCCTCAAAGGAGACAGATAGCATTTTCTCTAGAAATTGAAACTCTTGACCTAAAGGAAGCTATTCTACATCAGATTTATTTGTGGTAAAAGGACGCTGTTGAGAGCATATTGTTAAGCAAACTATTTAAAAACAAAACAGAACATCACCACTGCTAATAAAGGTCTCTTATTCAGATTTTGAGTGCAACAGCATGCAACTATTTGGTTCATTCAGTTTTCTTTTATATATTGAAATATCTGTTGCATACCATTAAGGAAGAAATACTTTTTCAAAATATGATAAAAGACAAGGAGTCGATGAAAAATGCCCAAGTTTACCTCTCCGATGTCAGCTGCACAAACTTTGATTTTGTATTTTTTTCTGCTAACCTGTATGCATCATTCCCACCATGTAAATATAATTTTTAATAGCACTTACACAAATAAATAACATAAGCTCTCCTTATAGCAAAGGGCTGACGTTTAGGTTGCTAGGTATCAATCGATATCATGCTCAGCACTCCAAAATATCAAGTAAAGACCTTCAATAAAAATTTCCAAAGGAAGTAAAAGACTGAAAGTCTCTCCTTAAAATGAAAAGCTCTACCTAATTTACAAGGCCTGGCCAATCCTTTTCTCCTTAACACTTGTTTTAAAACATTTTTCTATGCTTTGATATTGTCTTTTCTAAATATCCTTAGTATATAATTTCCTTTTCTTAACTGAAAAATTTACAATGTCATCTGCTGTCTTTCAGTGGGAAAAAAAGTTATTTCTATATATAAATAAAAATCATTGATGGAAACACATGCAAGGCTAAACGATGGTCCATCTTCTAAACTTAAGCCAGTAAAAAACCCACACAAGGCTGTACAGTGTCTGAACTGAAGTATGGCACTTGCAAATGAATCTTTATCTGTCTGTGGAACCTCAGGGAAACTCAGTGACTGCAGGAGAGCTCGACCATGTGATTCACACTACGGCTTCATATATTTCCAGATGAGCCCCTTTTCCCCCTAAAATGTTCCATCTGCTATAGATATAATCGCATAAAAGCCATTTAAATTATCTAGGATTTATTTGTAGAAACATTTTAAATCTGTAGGTTAGCTTTCTACAATTATTACCAGTATTTTAGAAGTTCAAAAGAATTTACTTTTTACTGTACTAGTCTGTGGTATGAGGCTTGAATGCAGGTTCTTTCTGAAAATACCTCTGAAAAAAGAAGGTTATGTATGCCCACGGAGAACAAACCCATTGCTAGGGCCTTCACCGCAAAGCCTGTACTAAGGCTTACTTCACTAAAAGAGGTAGCAGGCTCCACGATGTCTTATTTGCATTTTAAGCAGTACTCTCAGCCTCCTCTGCACTGAATTACACAGCACTCATGAAGCTGCTGAAGTAGCAATATTGAAATAAGGCATCAGATTCTGAAACATTAAACATTAAAGGTATTTCATGCTTTAAAAGAACAGAAAGTGTGGCATGAGCTGAACTAACTGAAATATTATTTCATGGCAAGAAATCCAACTAAATATATTTTTCCTCAATTCGTAAATCTAGAAGGCACCATTAAATGAAAAACTAAATGTAAACTATACACTCAGTTAATTAATCAAAAAAAAACATTACAGCACGATATAAGAAATAGCCTCCAAAAGTCCAAAAATTAAACATCAAATAAAAAGGGTTTACATCTTTTTTCCCTTACACAAACCACAAGCGTGGTTTTGCTTCTAAAAAAGCAAGACCTAAATCCCCTTCTGCTTTCTAACAAATTCTAATTAAAAAAAGGGAGAATGGATCATTAATTGCAAAAACAAGAGCGTCTGCTTGACTTGTACAAGTTGGATGAAATGGCTTTAATGAGTTAGAAACATACCTGAGTTCTACTAAAACTTACTAAGTTTCTCATCCCGTTAATTATTAATGTTACTTTGTTTCTTTTTTAGCAAATATTCTGTCTTTATAGACTTCTAAAGCATGAATGAATCCACTTTGTGTGCACTCTTTGTGTATATCCCATTTTCCATGTTTCCTAGGAAACCTTCGAATATTGCTACATCCTATGTGGAAGGGCGTCCTCATTCCTCTAATGGATAAAACCATCCAATTCCACATAAAGTATGTTTAGAAG